TCCTATGGGAAATTTAAATCCTAAGGGAGAAAAAAATTCCCTTAGGAGAATTTTTTTTTCCTATAGGATATATTTCCTCCCATAGGATTTTTTTTTCTCCTTTAGGAAAATAAACTCCCTTAGGAAATTAAATTCTCCCATGGTAAATTAAAGTCCTACAGGAATTTTTAAATATCCTGCAGGAAATTAAGAAATCCTGCAGGATTTTGATAATATCCCTTAGGATTTCAGATTTTCCTACAGGAACTTTATTTTTCCCATGGGAATTTTTTGTTCAAAGGTGATTATCTCACCTGACAGGTGTGATTTACCTGTAACAAAGGTAGTTATGAACTCTGTGAGTGATGGTCTACCACTTGGTATACATGATTTTTATGTGAAATGAGAATTTGGCGGGCGCCAAAATGCCACTTTTGAAGTGGCATAATTATCCGGCACAGTGTTAAATGTATAATGTATATGTAATCAAGTCAATAATGTACACTAATTGGAATAGTAAATAAATGTACAAAATGTAAATATCTGCTAATGAGACACCTGTCAGTACAAAGGTATGCCTTAGGCAATATACTGTTAAAACTGAAAATTTACGCCTCTGCCAGAATTTTAACAAACTGGAAAGAAACAAATAAAATTAAGTGATCACTTAATTTAAAATAAGTTAAGATGTATATGCATTACAATGTACACAGAGGAGAATTAACAAACCAAATGGAAAGCAAAGAAAAAATATCAATATTCCAAACAGTCATGATGTGAAGTTTAATTAAACACATACAAAAGAAAGTTATCTAGATCACTTTATACCTTTGGATTTGAAAGAAGATATTGAGAATATTCCCCTTGAAAAAAATATATAGGGTGAATTCACCATGCATCGGATACCCTTGTACTTCTACAAGTTCTAGCGATATCGCTACCGACGGAAAATTATCAAAATGGAGTTTAACATTTAGTTTGTGATTAAAATAACAATTTAGGACACAATTATATGCTGTTTACTGAGAAAATATCGCCAAAAATTGAGTTTTTAGAAAAAACTGAAAATTCACCATGGATCGGACATTGTTCACCATGCATCGGACAGACGGTATGGAGACCGGAAAAATATCAAACCTTTATCACAGTGCTTTAAAATCCTTGATATGGATATATTTTCATCTTTTATCTCAGAAATAACCCTCAACTTTAATTTAATCGACGATATTATTGCACAAATGTAGAACGATTCTCGAGACCTCACTCTGCCTTAGAAATGCTTTAAAATGCTTATAATGTCGTAATTCGCGCCTTTTTTGTCATGGTTTATCATGCTCTGGTTTGTAGAAATAAATTGAGTAAAATTCCAGACGTCATATATCGATAACTTGTATTTTGACTGAAAATATAGAGTTTTTATTTTCTTTTTCCGCAAAAAACAGCTGTCAGCTGGGTTCTGTATGAAAATGGTAGTGCTTACCTTTGCATCGAAAAGTGTCCGATGCATGGTTAATTTGTGTCCGATGTACGGTGAAAATAGCATACTAGTAAAAACCAGCTCTAATAAGAATTAAACAAATATTGAAGTGAAATTTAATTATAATTTATGTAAAATTACCAATCCCTGACAAAATTCACCAAAGTCCGACTCGTTCCGTGGAAGTTGAATTTAAAAGAACGATAACTCTAAAAATTGCAAAATCATAAATTTCGGGTTATTCCCCTTTGATGATGTAAAATATGACGTAACTTCAAGGCCATTTGTGGGGTATTTTTATCCCAACATGATAAACACGATCGGTATTATTAAAAAATTTCAATCTTCATCTTTATGACAGAAACAAATAAATACACAGAACTCTTGGGATGAAAGAGAGTTTAATGCCTAAAGTTGTCCGAAGCAAGGTATGTGTCCGATGCATGGTGAACTCACCCTAGGTGTATGTATTATTTACACATTGTCAAAATTTAAAGGCTAGTATATACCCTCTGGTACATGTACTCCTTTGACGTGCTTGCATAGTTGATTGCAGTGGGCTCAGCATAATTCCCTTCCTCTGATCCATTTCCAATTGTATTTGCGCTTTCTTCGTTTTTATTGTCCAGTACGTCAACATAAAAATGTGTTTCGCTTTTTCTACTAACTTCTTGATTTGTGTCCATATGTACAACCCTTTTCCATTTTGCAAAGAATCCTTCAGTCCATAATTTTCGGACAGAAATAGCCAAAAGGATAAGGGAAAGGATGACCACAAAGACAATGAGTACCGGTTTGGAGGGATCTGCATGCAATTGATCAAAGAAATCATTTTAAATTTTTGTTGAAATAACAATCATAAACAAACAGTTAAATCTGTTAGCTCCAGAGAAGGCTGGTTTAAAATTATACATAAAGCAGATCGGACAACTATCCAAATAAAATAAATTAAACATTTTAAACAATCAAAGGACATAGATGTTCTCAAAGCCATATTATACATATACTATTAGGCAAAATTTCCAATTATACGAGAGTACAGTTTCGGAATTGAAAAAGTTTAATCGTATAGATCTTATGAGATTATGTTGTATTTATAATTTTAAAAAAATACCTCCTTTTTCAATGCTCACACAGCCGACGATTTTATTACAGTATATTTCAGTGCAATCACATTGTTGTTGACAAAGACGTCCATAACTAGGGTAGCGGCATTGTAAAGAACAATTTGGTCCCGTAAGTCCGATGGAGCATTCTGATTCAAGAAAGAGAAAAAAGAAATAAATTTACAGTTTTCATATGGGGGGGGGGGGAATTTGCAACTAGATATAGTTCTTTGAGTTATCAATCATACCCTTTCTATCCTACAAATTAAGGAAAGCGGGTATGATTTCTAATCTTCAATTTGCGCGAATCAATTCTGCATATTTTTGGTGAATAATCAAAAGCTCACTGCAGAAAAAGGAAGACTTGTCCCAGTTTGTACTAAACTTAACATAAGGAGTAACAGGTGAAAACATATATACAGTTTCTCAGAAAACTTGCAAAAGGATTTCATTTTCTCACTGACCATAGCTTTCGATAAAACCGTTTTTAATAATCCTTATTTTTCTTTGTTTTCTTTTCGTGATTCTTTAGTGGGAAAGAACAAGAAAAACCTGATAAAAATGAAGGCATTTAAATAGTCATGATTGTTGGAATTTTAAAATATCAATCACAGTCCTTATAAAATTATATCTGATATGATATGTAGGATTTATTATGGCATATTACCTTCGCATTTACTCGTCTCAAAATTGTATATATATCCCGTGCAGCAATTACCAAGCGATGCTCTACAGAATTAAGAAAAAGTGGAATTTACCAAGGCATTTAACAGTTGTTATTGCAAAGCAACATTTTATTTTATTTATTACAGCCTGAAAAAATGCAAAACGCAACTCAAAAAATTAGAGTGGTCATTAAGAGGATAAAAGGAGATGATAGATACAAAACGTATTTCATGCATTTCGGATTTAGAAAACGTTTCTTTTACATTTAATTGTAATTTCTGAATGATAACAATCATAAAAAAATATAACATAATGACATTTTTAAAATTTGAATTCATGATTATTTTGATCATGACACTGCATACATAGAAAAAAATTCTGTCAACTCCTCTTGAAAATATACAATATGAATTGAAAAAAAATTGTTCTTACCTTTTACATGATCCCACGACTTCTCTTAAGCTGACAGTGATCAAGAATAAGAATACAAGATACATTATTATATTATTAAACTGACCATGCCGATAGACTCTCCATGAACAAATGATTTATGCATAATCAAATAACTAAATTTATTGCACAAAATAGTTTGAATCTTATTCCTAGAGGCAATTTCAACTAATGATGACCAAAGAGGAAATTTTTCGCAGCTGTAAGGAAGTAGGGAAAATATCTATTTGTATTTTGCAAAAAAAATGACAAGTAAAGCACATGGTTGTTTTATATTCTCTCTCCCTTCTCTTTCTCTTCAAAACAAAAGAAGGTACACTTTCGCTCTGAGTCAATTTCTAGTTATTATAATGTTCATAAGAACGGCATATTTAGAGAACCATATTTTGGCTGATATATATTTTTTTCTGATCAAACTTGAAACCTTTATATGTGTTCTAAACTTATTTTTTTTCTTTTACTGGAACAATACATAAAGACTTGATGAGTGTGACAGATCACTAAGAGATGCAAACTCTTTCAAAGTATTCATGTCGCTGACTAAAATTTGGCCTGTGTTAATGTATTGTGCATAGATTTTATACTTTTTTTTCTATATCATAGATATTTATTTATTTCTTCCTTATTTTTTCCTTTGTTTATTCATTTTCCGATATTAAATCGTGATTTTCACCAAAATATGGCTAAAATGGTGCCTCCCCGGCGTAAATCAGTTATTCCTCGGTTAGGTAGAAGTTAACTTGTGCAGAGAGAGAGAGAGAGAGAGAGAGAGAGAGAGAGAGAGAGAGAGAGAGAGAGAGAGAGAAAGAGAGAGAGAAATGCAATAACAACAACAACAAAAAACAAAAATTCTCGACAGCGTTTGCCTTATTTCTGTCATTTCTTGTGAAAAAAGAGTACTTATAGGCATAGAAATGAAACATCAATAACATTACAAAACAGTACCTTTCACAGTTTAAGCTACTTAATGTTATTAGAATAATTGTTTTTGACAAGAAATTTTTTTTTTCAAAAGCAATAGTACAAGATAAAAAATTCTAAGTAATCTCTTTTTAACAATTATAGTACAAAATATCAACTTTTGCACTGCAGGTAACAAATAGTTAGTTTAAGATGTGAATTGTGATAAGAATATGAAAACATTTCCGTTCCTTTCTTTTTGTTGTTGTTAATTAAAGCTTTGATTGAGATATTTTATTGAAATGCGCGCCCTTTTCTGTCCATTTATGCTTGTTATTTATGATTAACGATTGCCGGGATCACTCAAGCTTTATTGATTTGGACTTTTCACGGGCGGTAACACTGTTACATATAAAGTATGTTTTCCTTGTTCTTCAAGAAAATTGATGTAAAAAACGTAAATATATTTACTTAAATCGTGGGATATTTTTGCAGACATCTAAGTAATAATGATCAATTTTGAGCAGCTGGTTAATTTCTTTCCTCGACTCAAGAGTGATCATCTATTTGTGATTTTCACTGCTTTGTACATGTATGTACTTTATTTTCTTCGTTGTTCAATTCACACAGGATCTAATTTTTAACACTTTATGTTTGATTCTTTATACAGGGAATGTTTTTTAAATCATTTAATCTTTACATCATTTAATTTACAAAATATTGTTTCTAAAACTTTTTTAATTTTAAATAAAAAGAAATTCCCTTTGCCCTACACATGATTTTATAAGGACGTCTTTTTAACAAATTTTAAGGAACCTCTCCTGCCAAACAAATAAGAACAAACAGCCATCTTCCTAGACATTTAGTCAAGCAATACATTTTTTTTTTTTTGCACAACAATCACTAAAAACAGATATTGGTATAATCGTAAAAAAGGAGTGAACATCCTCCATGGATCTGTAATACTTTTGAAAGAAACCTTATAAAATTTTAAACACTCATACACACTCCTTTTTTAAATGAAAAAAAAAATGTTGCTTCTAATGGCATGGATATTTTAATTAAACCCGGAGAAGCAAAAGATAGCATCAGATAGAATTATTTTATTAACATTTAAAATAAAAAACAATAAAACCCATAAAAATACCAGATAAGAGGAAGTAGTTTTACCGAACCCCTCTAAGAGAAATTTGCTATAATATTTCATTTTTATCTTTGCCTTTTATAGAGTTAAATCTTTAGGCTTGCAAACAATTATGAAACATTACTTTAATCTATCCAGAGGCCTATTCAAGAGCAAACGTTTGCGAGTGATCGCCAAAATTCCTCAAACCTCCAGTAGAAATGTTCGCGAGCGCTTGCTCTGTTTAACCGACCTCTGAGCATGAGTAAAAAGTCCATATAATGTGAACAGGGACAACATTTGTACTGGTTCTGGCCATGGGTGGGTAGATACTCGGCAGAGTTGTGTAAAAGTACTTGTATCATAGATGGACTCTAGCAAAATGTTTGTGCAACAAAGTTAGGTGAAATGAGAGACGCAAAAATATGTATAGGAGTGGTTACATGTTGACGTTCAATCTACATATTTAACATTATAAAGAAAACAAACATGTTCTTTTAGGGCACATTAAAAGTTGTATAGCAAGAAACAATTACCGAAATACGACAAGGGAACTCGGTCACTACTAAATATTTCCTTTGAATCTCAAGTAATCACTAGGTATTTGAAAAAGATCCCCCCATTGACACTTCCTGAATTTTAAGGTTTAGAGATTTTGATTTTAAACTAAAACGCCATGAAATTCTTGGCATAATATTACACCTACCAATTGTTGTTTAAGGAAGTTACTTTAATCTATCCTTATCATGAGTCGGCGTTTTTTTACAACTACTAAGTTTTTGAAAAATTTATTTTTCCATGCTGATATTCTTCTGAACTTTCTTTTGTCATTTTTATTTGATGAAGGCCTTATCATTGCTCAAAATTGAAGTTTTATTTTCCCGAACGCTATTACTAGTATCTGTAACATTTACTGTGCCTTTCATCAACGAAACTATGACCATGCATGTTAAGTTAATTTTCAAATTGATGGCCACAAAAAAATATTTTTATTACGTTATCACATTTTTGTGGGATACAAGGGTGTACTTATTTTGCATTTACTTGCAAGATGGAACTATATTAATGAGCACATGTAAATCAGTCAATAACGTTCGTTGGATGGTTTCTATGGAAAAGTTATGAAATGTAAACTATGTGAATCTTTGACAGCCAGACACCTTTAGAACGAATTTAAGCTCTTTCAGGGCACCAGCCTGAAAAATCTTCACATTTATGTTCCTGTCAAAATATTAACTAACAGGAAACAAATGAATTTGAATAAAGTGATAATGTTCACATAAACAATTAATGTAAATAATAATAATTTATGTGTTGAATGCTGTTCATTTTCTTTTCTCTAAATGTAAGTAAGTAGATATTCTATTTTATTGTTCAAACGCAATGTTTTGATTTTTTTTTCCATTGCCTGGAATTCTCCCAGGCCTTGCAAGTGGCAGGTGTCATGTTATGTAATTTTCCCCAGTTCCTCAGTTTCGGCTACTGGTAACACAACTCAAAAATTTTCCATTGTCAAACCTTACTCCTTCTTAGACAATTAGTCATTCAGAGATGTCCATCATAATCACGTGTCTTGTTGCTGTCTGGAACTGACCAGTCAGCGCTGAGTCATTCTCGCTTTTACGACGCTATGAATAACAGCAAAAAATTTGGCACACTCACCACCATCCAAGCTTTCCCTACCTTACTTGCATTTCTTTATTTTAAATTTAAATAGATTATATTAGAAACATTGGCATATTCATTTTTGTAGTGCCATCTTTTTGTTTTGCTGTATACCTATGTATACCTATTATTTTATTTTTTGCAAATATTGATTATCTGTAAATTTAGGGCATTATAATATCAATATATATTCGTACGATAACATTTTTATCTGATCCCCTATCATGTGATGTTCATGTATATATTTTTTCATCATGTGATGTTCATGTATATATTTCTTCATTTTAATAAATGACATATTTCATCGCAACAATGGTGTTAATTTCATTTGATTATATCTCAGCAAAAAACAGAGCTGTGGTGAGATTGTGCAGCATGAGGAAACATAAAATTTTATTACAGTTCACATGTATACGTATTTCAGTTTATGCACGGGAAATTAAAAAAAAACCCATCAAATTCCAAAACATTCATGTTATTAAATTTCACTTTTTGAAAAGAAAGTAGAATCTGAAGATATTTGTTCTTTTTTTATTTGAGATAAAATATCTTAGTAAAATGAGATTGCCGTTGAAAATATGTAATATATCTTGATAAATTCATGTTTAAAATTTTACAGACTAGCATATACCCTCGGGTACACCTTTGACATGTCTGAAAAGGTCATATTCATTGCAATGGGATCAATATAATCCCCTTCCATCTTATTGATTCTTAATTTTATTTGTTCTTCCTAAAATTTTATATTCAAGTAACTCACTATTAAACTTGTTTTGCCTTAGATTTATTTTTTACTTACTTATTATCTAAAATTTATATTTTTTTGTCTGAAGATTTTGCATATTTTGACCAGGGTCTCAAATTTAACATCAACGACCCCATTTCTTCGTTCACTATTTTAAACTGTAAGATTCTTTTGACAATCAGCACTTATGTCATAACAAGTATTACACAAGAAAATATTCTTTCATCTAATATAGGTTCTAATGCTCCATATTTGATACTTTTAGTGCAAAAAGGTCACACACAAATTTAAGTGCATTAAATTGAATGAATCATTCTTTGATGCATATTATAGGAGGGATGACCGACAAAGTCTTGGACGAATCGGTTGTCCCGAAAGATAATAGCCGCACACAGCTTAAGTTTTCAGCAAATGTATATTTATCATATTTGAGTTCATCTTAATTTTCTGTTATAAAATATAGACAAAAATAATTATTTTATTATGCTTGAATGTGCACAGGCTACTGTCCTACGGTACACAATGAAAAAAAAACAGAGTTCTATAAGAGAATACATGATTATTGCAATGTATTTCGAAATACATAACAATAAATAAGGTTGAGGTAAATATTATCATATCTTTAATTCACAATCTATTGAATAATCGTTTTGAAAGTTTCTAGTATTTGCTTAATGTTTGGCAGTTTTCCGAGCATTCAGAATGGAAGATTGATAAACACGATATATGAAAAATTGAGACGTTTGATGACGTTACGGTGCACTGGAGGACTGTTCAATTTGATTTAGAATTAGTAATGACGCCCTGAGAGACTGAATATAAAGAAGAGAAAATATAAAAATACCACAAGATCTTTAGTATACTACTGTAATAGGAGTTATCTTGGCAAGATTTATTTTTATCGAGTCCACATGAACAACAAAATATTTATTATTTTATTTTTTTAATATTTATTGAATTCAGAATTGATATACATGTACTTGGCGAGGATTATGTTAACCGATTTTCTGCCATAACGCTTTGACTGGGACTTCAGTGTCGTTTAAACATTTTATCATATAATAAAACCGTCTTGGTGAATATTGGACATCTCAGTAAAACAGTAGAAAATATACAGATGTCTTGGATTGTGAATCCATGTCCACATTTTTTTTTACAAAATGAAAGTTTTGATTGTATTTCGTCATTTTAAAGCATCGTAAAAGTGACTGGATTCTCGATTGTCGGATTCATTTTTTTTCTTGGGGAAAGTCAGCGTTTCAATATAATCATTTTCTGAAGGAAGTAGACATTCTTTTTTACTTTCTACTCTGTTGTTCTCGTCCATGTCTTCGTAAAAGTTTTCTATTGTGCCTTCATTTTCAGTTCTCCTTTTAGACTCTTTTTCAAGATTTCCTAACCCTTGCTTTCTTTGAACCATCCTAGGGTTATATTGTTTTACTCTTTTCCAGGTTATTCTTCCAGCGACAATGAACACCAAGAGAGCCAAGAAAGATACAACACCGGTGAGAATAACTGTTAACTGGGACCCACTATTTGGGTTTTTGCTCTCTCTTTCGGATTCAGTAGAGTTTATATCTCTAAGCATCTTGTCATTTTGAGGTGAATCTTAAAAAATACCATAAACATTAATCTTAAAACGAAAGCTTAAATAGTTGGTATTTTTAAAAAGGATAAGGAATGTTTTCATTAAATATATATACATAAAATATACACATAAAATTTAAAGCAATATAAAGCTAATTTAATATTGACTTGCAGGGCTTTATGAGGGACATTGTCAGTCAATCTTATTGAGAAAATATACCTGGACAGCCTGTTGATATGTCACACAACTCCTGTGAACAGTTACATTGCTCTTGACAGGATTTGCCATACCCAGGATAGCGGCACTCCATGGAACAATTGAGGCCCGTGTAACCCAAAGGACACTCTTTAAATGTAAAATAAAACTATTCTGTGCTAATGATCAAAATAGAATCATGTAATCTCCTGGTGCGGGTCCCAAAAGGCAACTGAGCTTCAATAAAATGAAAAAACTGTTAAATAAACAATAAGCTGAATTTTTAATTTTTCTTTGAAAAAAAACAAAATATTTTTAAATATACAAAATAATAAAAATAATCTGCGGAAATATATGTATATTTTTTACATTCTTCAAATAAATAATCAATATAACTCAAGATGCCAAATGGATTCAAAATTCCATTTTTACTAAGCAATATTATTTTTGAGACTTTTAAAAACAGCAGTTTTTTTTACCTTATCCTTTATATGAAAAAAGGTATAAAACAAATAGTCTAACAGAAATGGTTTCCGTTGCTTAAAGAATACAAACCTCCTTTTACTATGAACATTTCAAAATAAGGATAATAAATCTATGATCCTTCCAAAATAATTGGGCGAGCACAAACTACTGCTTTTGCAAAAAAAAAAAAAAAAATGCGATGTACTACTACAAGTAACAAGTTCTAGAAAAGAAAAATAAAAATTACTCATTAATTTTCAGATACATACGAATTGCTTCTCCTTTGGCAGCATCGATATGAAGAACAACGATTCTACATAATATAGAAAACATTTTCAAGTCAACAGATAATTGTCCTACTATGATCAGCAGCATTACATGCATAACCTTATGTAGTTTGTGAACAGACTTTTCACACGTGACTTACTATCATGATATTATTCCATTGCATTTTGTAAGAGTATTAGTTGTCTGATTTACTTCCTTGATGATGTTACACACAACCTTATTCATATTTCATGCCGATTATCTTTTTTTCTATCTTTCAGGTCAATACTGGTTCAGATTTTTTCTTGGTGAAAAATCATTTTCAAATATAATGTAATACATGGGATCTTTCTTTAAATAAATTTATACCCGCATATATGGAAATTTGTTTTCTCTCTTGAAAAATAAAATCTAAATATTGTACCCTTATTCATATTATTTAATGCATAATTTGAATTTTTTAAATGCCTGCACTTAACGCCGTGTTTTTGGTCTTTTTCGGTCGTTTCTGTTGCTTACAAATCTTGACCTAATATACTATAATACCAAAATATTGTTAAAATTTTATTTAAAAAGGAAAATTTTGAATTCTGTTAAGAGGGATACATGTGGCTGGAACGATATCGTTGACAACTTACACGAACGATCACGTTACACGAACGATTCCGCATGATTAACGCACGATTAAACCTGTTACACGAACGATCTTTCACGTTCACGATTCTACACGTTACACGATCTTACACGATTGTTAACGCAAACGCACGATTCTTCACTCAAAATAGTTCAAAATATTTAGGAATCAATATTTTCAAAACGAAATACGGCTTAATACTTATCTAAGATTTAAAATAATTATCAATATTATTTTATAGACTTTGAAGTAAAAAACGGAAAATGATATTTCTGTAACTAAATATATGCAAGACTTTATACTTAGGATTAAAAATAATTATTTCTAAGGTAATTCTCCGATCAAATAAAAACGGATTTTGTTCGTTCTATTAGACGATGTACATGTATGTTGGTCGTATAATTTGATTGAATTGGATATCATGATATGCAGAAAGGAGGATACGATTGAACAAAAATGGCAGCATGGAATGACTTAAATTTTAATTACAAATTTTATCCTTATGTTTCCAATGATTCAATGTCTGATAAACTTGCTAATTATTCACCTTTTTATTTGCAGAAATTAAAAATAAATTAATAACAAATAGGTTCAAGAGATAAACACAGATATTCAAAACTCTTTTCAAAAAGGCTTTAAAGATCTAAGTATGGTTTATCACAATAGTGATCGCGCTATTTGACGAGAACTTAATATTGTACGACTTACTAATAATGCTTGTTTACAAGCGATAATTAGTTCTTTCTGCATTCTATAATGTAAATTGCGCTTTTTCATTTTATTTGGATTTTAATTAATAAATTAAGAAAAACAAACAAGGGAAATGCTTATTTTACAAATAACATTTCGATAAAAACTTATAAAACGAAATTAACACGATCTCGCACGATTAAAAACGCACACGATTGAGTCTGATACACGAACGATCTTGCACGTTACACGCACGATCACTCACGATACACGAACGATTCTACACGATTGGTTTGTCAACAATAACGTTCCAACCACATGTAAAAAGCAACTTCCGGTAATGGAAAGAAATTCATTCAACCGTTAAATAACTGATTTGGCAAAGTAAAAGATGTCCTAACGTTTTTGGTACATAGTTATTACCTGTATATAATTTTCACCCGAAAATTAAGGTGTTGCAGATCTATTGACGGTGAGTATACAACTACTACTGTTAAAAGGAGAACAACAGACAGACATGTGCTGACTATGTATTACGTCAGTAAATAAAAAATGGGCGTCCTCATTATCGTACGGAGATTGAAAAAAATTGTGATGAATCCCGGCTTAGAAAACAGATTCGTACATCGTAAACACAGACTTTTTTATTGTAATGAATTAAAGTTGAAGATTAAATGTTGATCATACCTGCAATATAAAACAAATGTTGTTTTTTTTTGAAAGTTTATATTTTCACGCAAATTTCGCAGATCCTTATGTGCAGTCATCCTTTTCCTTCGACAGTTTTTTTTAATTTTTTAATATTAGCCGTACAAAAAATGACATTTATATATTTTTTGCGAATAATTCAAACAGTTTTGGATCGAAATCGACCGATAATGGAGTATGTGCGGTATTCATTACGAGCATCACGCGTTTTAGAAATTTTACCATTGATGATATCATATACCCGACCTTAATGTTAGACCTTTCTTTCAAAAATCTCACCATTAAGTATATAGCGTGATCATTACTGGTGATATCGCCTCTCACGAAGTGCAATTCTTTATACTTGACAATTTCTATACGTTTCAATCACGCATAACTTTTAATAACGTTTTCTGGCTTACAATTGCTAATAAATACTTGAAATATCGAATGTTGAAGTTGGATTTCAGATTTCATCATTATCTCTGACGTAAGAACATAAACCTATGTAAATTATAATAAATTACATTATGCCACACATAATTCCTCTACATCCCAATTAGACAACGGGGACCTAAGTTGTTTATTTATTTATTTATTTGGGGGGGGGTGCTATATATTTATTTACCAATGCGCTCTGTACGTTTTATATATTGTTGCAGAATAATTTATACTTCATACTGTATAGGGCATACCATAACACAATAAAGTAAGTCTTTTATTTTAACTTATACATAAATTTGAAAATCAATGATGAATACAAATCCATTAAATAATATTCTATCACGATTATTGCAAAGATCAAACAAAAGCCGTGGACATTATTCTCCAATAAATCACGAACGTCATCAAAAAAATTTCAGATCAGAAACACGTATAAAATCTGAAGAATTCAATGCATGTTTGGCTGTAGACTGAAATACTTGTTTGGACCGCATCGATGTGTCGTCTTTTGCAGTATAAACACTGTAAATTGAATAAAGTACCTGATGAATTTCGGTTTCTGTAGCTAATAAGCGGGGCTATATCACGGACCTCCTCACACATTTAAGAAACGTACGTGATTTTAGTCCCAAAACAGGAACATGATTGTTTTATAATTGACCAATACATATTTGTATTTTAAAAAGGCTATTTTTTATGTCACGAAAGCTCGAATCGTTGGCATTCCATACACAGGTAAGCATTCAAATTTTACCTCTGGTTTTAAATGGAACAGCGTAATAGAAACTTGGTGACCTAATTCGTTTCTCTATAAAGGAAACGATCAGCCGTAATTTAGCGATTATTAGACATGGTAAAATAGAAGAAAAGTCTTTGTTGTCGTGAATGATGCAGAATAACCTCATCGGTGTCGAAATGTTGTATGAAGTATAAATTATTCTGCAACATTCACGAATACGCGGACTTTATTTCATAAACAAATCTATCTACCTTGGCCATTCTTTACGGAAGCCGGTTGGTGAAAACTAGAAAAACTATTTGATCTAAGGGCCGCCTGATACAGACTGTAATAAGATATGGTATCGCTGAAATTATATGGTGGTTAGTAAGATAAGTTATATGGCGACTGTAAGATCTTTTTATAAAGCGGCCGCTAAATATTTTTGTAGCAGACGCAGGACAATAATTTGGGGGAGGCCAGATAAAATATATTCTGTCTGGCACCTACTGACTTCCGTAGTTCATGATAATTTACAACAATAAAAAATGTTCCCATTATTAATTCCTAGAATTGCCTCAGAATCACAGTTCTAATCAGAGTTCAACCCGAAAACAACTCGAACTTCCCTGTCTATTCTCCCCATACATTGAATGTTTTTCATTTTTTCCTGTTTTTATTTAATATAGTATTTTTTTTTAAATATATATAGAAACGGAATTATTTCCTTCAAATGTGATAAATTATTCTGAAATCAAAATGGTTCCATTATAAAGTTATATAAAAATGATATATATATATATATTTCAGAACAATATTTTATGTGAAAGTTGGCTTTAATACATAACAAGGTCATATTTACCATGGAATTTGCAAAATATTGACTCTTGAACAATACTTCTGAAACCCCTGATTATTTTAGTCAGTAGCAAGCTTAAGGCCCTTTTTAGAATTTGTTTGGTGTAGTGCATACTCTAGCATATCGAATTAACTCGGAGACAAAAAACAGCAAATACAGATGATAATGTCTTTATTGCTACTACGTGGAGGTTGACGTTTGAAAAGTTGAAAAGTTGAATTTTTACGTTAATCTTTGTGTTTGTTCTAAGCTTATCGTAAACGTCCTTTTCTAATAGAAAATCAAATATAAAACAGACGTATCGAACAATGTGGTGTCTTAAATTATCACTAGTTTAAAAAAAGTATATGGAATCAACGTAGGAATCGACATGATTAGTCTTTGTCGATTCATCTAAATCCATAGAAAAGAATTCGTTTTACATGGTAGGCTTTTCAAAGACACGATTCCCTAAATTTGACGCGTAGTCTTTTAGTGAATCAAAACTGAATTTTTTTACTTCTATAAATTAATTCCTTTCCTGAAAATAAAAATCAGTTTACGCTTTATAATCAGTCAAGCGGATTATAAAAAAGCGTAAACTGACCCAAACCAGATTATACTCGATTATTTGGCCTAGAATTAGAGTCATTCCTTATAATCTAATTTTAAAATAATTAATCAACTTTGGATAAATGATTAGAAAAAAAAGCATACCAGTAGTCGCATTTCATTTTGAAGATTTGTGTGGACAAATATACTTTCTTGTTTTAAAAATTCGACAAGCAATAAAATCGTTTGAAATGCTTTCAAAGTTTCATAATTATATATTCAGAATATAAAATTGAAAGGGTGGATCAGTGGTGTTAATTTTTTTCTTTAGATATAATTAAAATTTTGTTAATATTAAACGTGCATTAAATTGGGTATATCTCTTCTGGATTTCCTCATTTTTAAAAATATATTTGTAAAATCTGATCAAAGAATTCATGACAATTAATATAATATATATAATTAAGGACTAGAATTAAATAAGTTATTATTTGTACGGTATGCATGGAAAAATAAATATATATCCAACATGTAGCAATATCCTTAATACTCCAAACAAGGAAATATGATATTTTTCTTCTAAAAGTCATAAAAAATAGAGATCAAGGAAAAAAATCTGCTCAAACGCTCAGGTGCAAACCTTTAGGTCTTTCATAAATGTAGATATAGCTAC